GTAATTGTTGGCACGAAGACCCACAGTCACGACCAACATTTAATGGTGAGAAAAGAAAGATATTAAATAGTCAAGATTTGAAATGCATTTAGTTCATATTTGGTATTATACATATGGTCAAGTATTTAGAAATATGTTTTTTTGATTTTGGAAGATGAGTTATATTAGTTATATTTGTCTTTTTACTTTCTCTTCAGATGGTTACAGTTATTTCCTTCCCTTCTATGAGGAAAATCTCCAACCACACGTAGAGGAAGATGTCCTTCAGCTGAAGGTCGATAAGAAGTATTAAATTAAAAAAGAAAAATTATAAAAAATAATAAAATATATATACTCTATATATTGTATATAATATAATAGCTAAAGAATCATTAAGTACAATTCTCCACATTTCTCTATTCCAGAAATTATATGAAGGCCCAGGTGATCTTCTTGAGAAGATAAAGTCATTATCACTGACCAATGACCAATGTTGTTCTGCAGGTGAGGTATATATTTCTACATCTACTTCCAGCCGTGTTTTTTTTGCAAGTGTTTTTATACTTTATCTTCCACTTGACAGATGGCCCCGCCCCTTTGGTGAGTTCTGACAGAAGTTTGTCTGTACCGGTTGAAGCCAGCATTGAAGACATGCACGTTATCCAGTGTGAGGTGGAGTCCATCCAGGCGGATGCAATGGTGATGACTCCACCCCTAGCTGCTGCTGATACATGTGATCGTGAGGTTCCCTGCAACAATCACAGCAGCTTAAATCCCTTCCTGTCGAGCTCCCACAGCACACCAAGTAACACTGTGAAGCAGCCAGTACTAGAGAGACCCATTCTGTCCTCCGTTCACTCCTGGTCTCATTCTGAGCCAGTGCAGGCCACAAGCAAAGAGGAAGTGTGTTGTCAACCCACTTCCAGCTATGACTCCATGATTTCTTCTGCGTCTGCTTCAAGCCACATGTTGATGTCTGTCAGCTGTCCCTCACTGGACCAAATGAACCAGCAACATCCACATTCCCACTTTGACCGTCAGCCGTCTTGGCCGGCTCATCCCGTGTCTGACACTTCTGCTCCAGACATGACTACAGGACGACTGTTGAATATCTCCAAAAGCGGCTTGTCTCAAGATCCAGGTACAAAAGTTTTTGACATCACAAATTTCTGGCGATCCCAGAGACATATTAGTAGCTTATCAGTATTTTATTGATAAAAACCGTATTTGAAATCCAGTTCACCCCCCATGGGGTCCTGACCCCAAGGAGGAAAAACACTGGATTAAAGTCCAGAAGTGCTTCTGTCTACTTAGATGTTTGTGCTTTGTCCTTGTTCCAGGACCTCTTTTTATTCACAATGCCAGAGCGATCCAGATCGGAAGCAACAATACCATGAATATCAGAGGTTCGGAGCCTTACCAGAGTTTCTTTCCAAACAACTCTCTTATCAAAGAAGAAATGCAGAAATTTGGTAAAGTTTTTTTATTATTTATTTTTATTAGCATTTTTGTCCCACTCACACATATGAACAAATAAAAACTGAAAACACACCATAACAAAAAAAAATGTCTTGTAAAACTCAGTTAGAAAGTCAGTCAGATAATTGACACAATTTCTTCTGTGTGTGTGTGTTCAGAAGACTACCCTGTGACCGAGGAGCACCTAGACCTGTTGAGGGAGAACATAGGATTGAACTGGAAGCGTTGTGCACGGAACCTGGGTCTGACCAATGTGGAGGTAGAGACCATAGAGCACGACTACTACCGTGACGGCTTGCCAGAAATGGTGCATCAAATGCTGGAGCAGTGGAAGATGAAGGAGGGAAGTATTGGCTGTACTATTGGCAAGCTTTACCAAGCTCTAGAGGGAAAAGTAAAGGTAGAAGTTTTTAAGAAAATGTTGGACACCTGCGCATCTTTAGCTATTCCAAATTCTTAAAGTTTCCAGCCTGGTTTCTTAGTTACTATCTGGCTGTCTGGCACCAGACTTTCTTATTAGAAAAAAAAAATGACAACATTGTATGTCAGGATATTCAGTCAAATGTGTTTGTTGTTGTGTTAACTTCCACACAAACAGCAACTTAAGATTTACCGATAAACCCACAAATATGCTCTCGTTCTCTCTCTTCAAATTTATCCCAAATGGTTAAAAATACTTTTTTTAAATTTGCTATGAATAAATAGTTTGTTCTTTGTCAATGTTTTTCACTTACCCGACAGGTACGAACAATGTTGAGTATCACAGTAGTCTGTTTAAAAAAGGAATCGGTTTTTTAGTCTTTTCTAATAATGTTGTAAAAAAGCACAATGACGCGTCAGTGCCCCAGCACAAGTTCAGCATTGTTGTAATATTATTTTTCTACAGTAGGGGGGAGTATTTGATCATTGCAGAAATAAATCAACCTTTTGACAACATGTCGATTCATAAGTGAAGTGAACTGTATTCCCCGGGTTAGTATGAAGAATCGTTTTTAATGTTATTGTTGTCTTTTTGACAGTTTACTGACACTCATGTCATGGTCAGCATTGGTCCTACTGTGACACACTGTATTGTACGTGAGATTTGTATGTATGTGTGCGTGTTTTTTCTGACAGACAAAACAACGTTTGTGAACGTACTGGAAAAGCCATTTAAAATAACATTTTAAATAAATGCTTTGTGTTTTAAAAGACATTTAAAGGACAGTAGATTCAAACATATTTTGAATGTTGTTCATTTTTGACCATTAAAAAAAGATATATTTATCATACATACAGTAAATATATCATATTTAGTCAATGTCTGAAACAACATAGGACAAAGAACATGTTTAACAAGTTAAACTGTTATTTAGTGAAACAAGTGGAGAATGTTCACACAGGTCAAAGAGAGTGTCCTGATACAATGAGGGAAAATCCACCACACAAACGGGTCCACTCTGTTATGATGTAAAATATATTTCTTCACCGATAAAGCACAGTACAAAAAAGGACTTTTTGACACAACATTTCTGGACCTACATTTAGTATTTATATAGGAAGGTTACACTTATTTTATAGAAAGACCAAGACAAAAATAAATACCTAAAGGTTACATAACCATCATGTTTAAAAATGTTTTCATATTTAAACAATGGTACAAAAACGTAAGAGATTTTATCTCTGCACAGAACCAGACTGTGACATTGCAGACCACTGGTGTCAGCAGAGGAGACTATAGACTATAGACGAATACTGCACATACTCAGAAACATGACATCATGGAAGCACTTCCTTTGGTCAGGCAAGACAAAAGAGTGTGGGTGAGGCATGAAGCCCAAAGAAGCTCACCATCCTCATGGTGAAACATTCAAATGCTGTGGGTGAACTAAAGTATATCTGTGATCTCAGGTAAGTGGAGGAAACAATTAGATTTAAGATGATGTTAAAAAGGACACGTTGAGCGTTACAATTTAAAAAGTTCTAATTTTCAAAAGTAATCACATTTAATAGCTAAAACTTCTTCTCATCCGTCTCAAACAGCTTTAAAGTTTTATCATCTTTGTCAACCTTATAGGAACTTTACAAGCTGTTGTAACCTGGTGCGACAGTCTCCAGAATTTTCAAAGAAGAAATTCTGTGATTGAAACATTGGAAATATGTTTAGACTTGAATAGAGGGTAAGTAGATAAATTGCTTTGTCAAATAAATAAATATACATATATACAGAAATCTATATATACACATCTATATATGTGTATTTATATATAATTTTAATTTTAACAGCAATTCAGTTTTAATATACCACAAAAACAATATCGAATCTATAAATGTAACTATGCAATATATTTTACTGTAATTATTCCTTTTAAAAAAGTGGACAAATGTTGAAACAACAATATCCAACATAATAGTATAATTTAGTTGTGACATTTAGTCAGGCCAGGGTTTAACAAAGGTATTAAATTTACATCTAAATAGACATTTAGGATCCAAAATATACCAAACGTTAGTGGAGCAAGGACGTAAACGAAACCAAATATTTAAGCTGTTTTACTTAACCTTGGACATGATTCACCAAACAATGCAGTCACATGGCTGTGGCCTAAACATATGAGGAAATTTTGTAAATTCCTGAAAAAGATTCCCTCAAATTAAACACAAACATCAACAGGAAAAACAACCTGCCAAACACTTTCCAATGGTATTCAGTAAACATTCTACATTAAGCTTGTTTATTAGGGCCAGGCCACTTTTGCATGACCTGGGACCATCTCTAAATTAATGTTGAGGTTATCTGTTTCTGAGGTTCTTTTTGTACACATGGTGGCCAGCAGAGACTTCCTGTGGCCCACACTTACGGACTCTTGATTACTATGTGTTTGCTGAACTGCAGTAACTCGATCTTTGCATGACTCTCTGTCTGCTGCTGCTGCTGCTGCTTCAGGGACATTGCATGTTTGAGGGTCGTGTGTGAGGCACTCACAAGCATTCTTCCTTTCATCACTGTAATTCTTTGATGAAACAACAGACAGTTGAGGTGCAGAGTGGCTGGAAGGCAGTTGGTTGTTTTGCCTGGGAATGGTATGAAGTCTGACCCTGATCTCTGGCTTTGAGCAGCAGTTTCCCGGGCGCTGTGGGCAGAAGCAGCTTCTCACGCAGATATGGCAGAGAGTACACATGTCCCTGCGCATCATCCTGCGGATGTTTGGCCTCAGCATTAGATAGATGATCGGGTTGTAGATGGTGGAGGACTTGGCAAACATGGCCGGCAGGGCAAATGCCATTGGAGGGATGTTGTTGATGTGTCCAAAAGTAGCCCACATTGACACCACAGCATAAGGACTCCACGCAGTAAAGAAACCAATGCAGACTGCAACGCTTAGCTTGCAGGAATAAGAGCACAGAAGATTTAAAATGTTAATAATACTTTAAGTGAAACAGATCAGCAACTGTGGGTTTTGATAGTATAGAACAGTAGTTTTCAAAGCTGGGGCTGCAGCTCCACTGGAGGCCACCAGAGTGCACTGGGAGGCCTTTAAAGTGTCTTACGAAATTGAATATTTAGGTGAGATAGTAAATCTGTATTTTTTTTATTTACAGATTTACATTCTTCAGTACAAGTGCAGTCATTCTGTGGAACTGGGTCAGGGCCTACGGATGGGTCACAGGAGATTCATTGGTGCTCCAGGCACCAAGAAGCATGCCAGTGACCCTTTCCAACCCCTGTGTGGTATGTAATAACGTATGCGAGAGGTCAAGACATTTTTGTTATTTAAAAAAAATATTTGAATTAAATAAAACATATGGATTGTAAATAAGGTATTTTCAATAAATATGTTTAAATCAAATAGAGGTTAACATATATTCTAAATTGTCCTAATTGTCCGGAAAGGAAGATGGACAAAGGGACAAACAGGGGGAGGTAGCTTTGTGTTAATTAAGCTCGAGTTAATTACCTTAACAATTATGGTCTGTATGCCACTCATCTGCGTCTGCCTGGATGCGTGTTGCTCCATGGTCTTGCGAGATGCTTGTACCGTGACCAGAATGCCAGTGTAGGAGGCAACAATTACACAGCAGGGAAGGATGTAGCAGAATATGAACAGAGCCAAAGTATAGGAACGTGCCATTGTGTGCTCATTGGACAGATGCCAGTCAATGCAACAAGCTGTGCCGTAAGGTTCTGGTCCATATTCCCCCCAGTGAGCCAGCGGGGAGCAGGCAAATAACAGTGCGTAGATCCAAGCACAGGCGATCAGCAGATGGCCGTGAGCAGAATTGAACCTGTTTCCTAACAAAACATTTTGAGGTTTAGGAATTTGCTTTTTGTTGTATGATAAAGTTAAACATTTCTGATAAAAAGCACATGACGAAAACTTTTTTAACTGTTTGCCTTCAAGCTGGAGACATAGTACAGTAGATCTGGTTATCTTATAAATGGTCTCCAGGCCATACGTTGACAGAGTTGGCAGGATTACCAACTCTGGATTAATGCACTTCACAATGTTCTGCCATGTGTGCGTGGGTTTTCTCCATTAGTCCAAAAGTATTCTTGGATACTCTCATTGGGTTTATCTATATCCTTTGCCCCCGCCCACCGGCCTTCCCCTGTAACCCTGAACAGGAGTCAGTGGTTTATGAAGAAGAACGATCACATGGGAAGCTGTGATTCATTCAATTGAAAAATAGAAATGGATGGAAATATCAGGACGTCCTGGATGTGTTATACAATGAAGGAAGAGTAAATATATATATTGTTGTTGAAACCCCTTGTATTGTAGAATCAGAATCTTATCTTTAGGAAGAAATAATTGTTTTATTGACTTGACTTGTCTCTCTACTTGTATGTAGCAGCAAGAACAATGAAAAAAATCTCATGGGTCCAGCTTGTCACACAGGGATAAAATTAATAGATTTCGCAGGGACTTTTGACCTTGTTCAGTCTGGAAGTGCATTAACACATAGGCAATTGACTGGCTGTGTTCTTAACTTTTACACTGATCTGTCCCTGATCGCCGCACACATACTGCACAATGATCAGCCCTCACTGCACCGACTCGAGCACATACTCTCCATGTGCTCACCCAAGCCTTTAAAGCAGGAGCTACAGTCAGTGTAAATGGAAGGAATCATTATATAAGCCCCTTGGGAAGACTTTGTCCTTCAGAAAGTGATAATAAAACGAGAGTTTCTATAAATATACCGAAGGAGAGGAACAGATGGATTAAAAGGCTTAAAAAAATTCATTACGTTTCTCATTTTGTATAACAGAGATCTCTACAGTGCATCCCAGTTCCTGGGAAGAGGGGGTGGGGGGCAATCTTTCGAGGTTAAACAGAGGGCTCACTTGCACTGCATTGACCAACATCATACGTAGTGATTATTGAGCGTAGCCCCTTTACTTGTCAGCCATCAAAGTAAGGCTAATGTGCAGTGCTTCACTGAGGGATTATCATTTCACTTTCTTCCACAGATAAATCAACAATCAGACACTCAGGGATGTTTTCATTAATCCCGTGTCATTTCAGAGGGAAAAAGGTTCTCTATGGACTTACCATAGAGTGGATAACACACTTTGAGAAAGCAAACCATGCTCAGAAGGGTTAGTGTGGTCAGACTGCAGATGCCAAATAGCATTCCACAAAAAGCGTATATGGAGCACGCTGTTTTCCCATAAAGCCACCTGTGTGGGAGGGAGAGAGGGTGTGAGAAAGAGAGGGAGGAAGGGTAAGGCAGAAGCAGTGCAGAGAGATCAATGAAGGAATAGGTGAGAGAGACATACAGAGAGCTGAGCATTATGTACTATATCCATAAACCTTGGGAAGGTTCTTTTAAAACCCTGCTAATCAACCCAGTGTTCAAACAAAATACTCTTTGTGACAACTGCATTCAGGGCCTCATCGGTAGAGGCTGGGGGCAAAAATGTTCTTTAAATACTGTATCTACAAGTGCCCCAGGAATTCTCATGATGAGGACTTTTAATGCCCTTAAGTCGAGGTGGGAAAAGAGCAACTCAGCTTTAAAGTCTTAACTGCATGGAGTGTGTTTTTAAACCTATAATGTTGCAGACAAATTGGTAGATGGGACACCTAATATAATAGGTTAAAAGACAGATAATTGGATTAAACAAACAAGAGCTAAGAAACAGCTGATGCTACGTGATCACTTCAAAAGTTGAGGAGACCAATTTCTTCAGTGTGAGCAACTCAACATTATTCAATCGACATTAAAACAAATACTCAGTGCATTAATATAATGCTAAAATGATTATGAAAATCATATGTTGCCATAGTCAGTGTATGGTGCAGTACCTGTGGTAAATGCTTGAAGTGATTGCCAAAGGGTAAAGAGACAGAGTAAGGCCCAAGTCACTAATGGCCAAGTTGATGATGAAGTACTCAGCAGGTTTGAGGAGATGCTTTTTCTTGTAGGACACATAAAGCAGTGTAGTGTTTCCAAACAGTGAACATATTCCTAGAAAAGAGGGTGAGGAATTAAATATATATATATATATATATATATATATATTTATATTACATTGTTGCCTTAATGGCTTTGTGTTACATCTTTAAAAGTAAAGAATATTGTAATGTAATTGGAAAAAAGAAACTACAACTACTAAATAAAGCTGCCTTTTTCATTGTTAAAATAGAATGTTACATCACACTTGTAAAAAAGGGAGCTTTCTAACTTTTATCATATTTCATACCAAATGGAATGATATATTAATGCATTTGTTAAATCTTTTTTTTTTTTTTGAATGATAAAGTTAATAACTCACCAAAAACAAAGTAGACAACAGCCACTGTAATATCCAGACTGACAGGTATGTTGGACTGGAAAGCATCATCTTCATCTGACAGCTGCATCTATAACACAGGTATGGCCTTTTGAAAATATACTGTGTAGCTGCTAGCTAGCTGTAGATAAACTGTGATAAATTAAGATAAATCAACCTTTCTATATGACAGAAACCTGTTTTTCTGTACATTGCGAAAACAAGAAAACAGTTATGAGCAGGAAGATGTGGTGTAAATTAAAAAGTTTTTTTTTAACTCTAGTCTCAAAAATATTTTTTTTTAATATATTCCAACCTTACGTATATTTAAGCCAATTTATAACATCCACAAACATTTCCCAGGCAACCTTCTCATCTCTCAACCAAACAGGAAGCGGTGCATGTGAGTGAATGTAGCATGTGATTCACAATCTGTCCAAACAAGTTCATCTTTTGGATAACATGTTGTTCTGATGGATATTCATTTCGAAAGCAGCTGAGACCTCCACGTCTCCTGTGATTTCACTACTGCAGCTGGATGGGCTACGTCAATGTCTTATAAAATACATGGAAGTACTGTGCAACTGTGTCTCCATGCTTCATGATCCCATCATCAACATCCAGTTTTCATGCCTTCATTCTGCCTCAGCAGACAAAGCCTGACTGTATTAATGAATCTATGGATGACACAAGGGTCAGTGAACAGACAGGGCAATAATAGCCCAGAGATGAGGTTTAAAAATATATATATAGTATTAATATTAATATAATATTTGAAATTCTGAAGGATTGCTTAACACGACAAGGTCGCACAGTCATTTTTTAAGCCAGTACTTTTAAAACAGGAGGTTCAAAGCCGTGCAGTTAAATTTACAGTCTTGACTGTAAAGTTTAACCACTTTAGACTTTACATAAATCTATATATGGCTATAACTCCCATCTGCTGTTTCCCAGTTTTATAGGTTATTAGCTAATGTGCACTTTTCATCTAACATACTCTCTGGCTTTATATACTAAAGGCGCATAAAGTAGTAGCTTAAATGTTGTCATGAGAAAAATAAATAAATAAAAGTCTCTAATTTTGAGCCTTTCCACCCATGAAAGTCTCGTGGTGGAAAAGTGGTTAGTGCAGTTGGCCTTAAGGAGAAAAAAATGACAAGTGACCTGGTGACCTTTCTGTGAGGTTGTGTGTGGTATTTCCCCTATCTCGATCCAAAAAAAAACAAAAACAAAAAAACACACACAGGGTTCATTCTAAATTGACCACTGTATGGGTATGAATGTGAATAATTGTTTGTTGCCTGTGTTTGCCTCTGTATTTGGTCCTGTGATGGGCTGGTGATTACTAGGATGTACCTGATGACTACTGGGCCAGCCCCCTCTGTGACCCTGAAAAGATTAGGTGGTAGAAGATGAATAAATATTGTTCATAAGATTGTATCATTTAAGAAAAAACACTGTCTACAAAGCTGTTTGTTTGGATAAGCTGGTATTACATATAACGCTGGAATGCTTTGTTTTACTTTGCTCCACTGGTTGTTGATGCTGAGACTGTGTAGCTTAGAATAAAACAATACTTTACACTGAAGTGCAGAGTAAACGCAGTGTATAAACTGATCAAACATTCACGCCTTAACTGAACACATTTATGCGCGCTGTTCACTGCTTCTTGTTTGTCACTTACATGTGTGGTTACGCAGGCTGCTGCAGTCGTATTTGTGAAACTCAGTCCCCATCACTATAGGAAACTGTTTTCCATAGATGATTACTGTGATAACCCTACTTATTGAAAACAGAAACAAAACGAAAGTAGTCAATTACTAATTATTCGAAGCAATTAAAGTGAGTCTCTGTGCGCAATTGCGCAAAAGTCATCCAAACGACGCGGACTTTTGCAGGACGTAATACAAGTGATCCATTCAGGCACAAGTAAGGAAATAAATGTGCAGCATCAAAAATGCCCTTACCTTGGTAGAGAGTTGTTACAATACAGGAATCTTCCTATTCTTGACCCATTTTAACGTGACAGTCTCGAGCACTCGCGTTTCCTCAGAGTTGTGGACGCTCCTCTCTGAGCGGCGGTCATGGGGAGGAGAGCAGCATCACTGCCCGCCGCAGTTAGAGCTGCATGAGGTCCTGAAACGGCTCCACATCCCATCAAGTCAGATCACCACTGAACGATTCCTGACGTCACAGACCTGTAAGAAATTCTTACTTGCAATACATGCCAAATTAGAAAAAAACAATTTTTTTTAATGTATTATTCCACACATGCTGCATTAATATTATTATGCCATTGTTTTGTTAATGAATGAATGTGATATAACGATTGTTTGTTGTGATTGAATTGATCCCAAAAAATAAAGGCAACCACAATTAATATTACAAATAACCCTAAGAATAGGCTGAGGAAGGATTTGTGCATATGGCAGAATTTAATAGGATTTTTATTAAAACTAAAAATATGTTGTTGTAGTGGTGAAAACCATGTCTTATATACATACACAGTGTACACTTTCCTGTGCTTCTCCACTGTGGTCGCAGCCTTCTTGCTTGACTAATGCCATGCTCCTGATATGCTCCCTCTTCTCAGAAAACAAGTCACTTCACTTACATGTCACGGTCTCATAAGGTGCCTTATCATGATTATCTATAAATATTTTAAATCTACAGTTTATAATATACATGTAATTTCTTATATCTACAATATACATATTTTACCTCATCCACTTCATTACTATTTTGTTCTTCACTGCCGTGAAATTGGGTTTTAAACTGACTCGGCTGCAAAAGTGTGTCAATTTTCTGCTGTCAAACACTTTCCTGCGTGCTGCTATATTCACATTTACCTTTTCTTAAACCACCCATAGAGAGAAAAAACTGGAACATACAGTATCTTGAGCCAAAGCCCAACATAAAAGCTGTGTTCAAGGTGAGCTGTGATGTCAAAGCTGTAATTGTGATTGCAGTGATAAGTGGAGATAGCGCTGTGATGTTCACACAGTGACGTGTGAACATCACAGAGCTTCTTTAAAAAAAGATTAATCCTGCCTTTCCCTGGAAACATTGTTATTGAGCATGTGAAGTGCTTTCAAGTGGTTTTCCAGGAATTATTTATCCTATTTTCAAGGATATATTCATCCTATCATTTTATCTTGTTCCCCATACTCTGTGTAGGAATGACAACCAAAGCGTTTAAACAAGTGCTTCACATGTTGCTACGGTTCAATTTTCAATTTGTTTCATTCCTAAAGGCATCTATGAGGCTTTTTTTGTCCTGTGGCCCCAGAGGTCATTTTATGGTAAAGCAATGCATTCACTGTAAATCACTTGTGCAGCCGCATGCTGAACAAAGAGCCACAGGCTAGAAACGGTGAAATAACCAGGACTTTTTGAAGAATGTTGCTAATTCCTAGCATGTATTCGGGTATAGACAGAGCAGCGCAAGATACATCATTCAGTGTGTTTCAGGAAGATCACGTGGTATGATTTCGGTTGCAATTTCCTTTTTTCTCTTAGGGTTTTAAAGCAGCATTATTTTATAGTGAAGAAAAAAAAAGAAATTCAGTTTCTGTGGGTGTGCCCTTCGTGGCTCGAGGAGGAATCCAAGGAAACTGAATCGCCTTAGCAGAGGTCAGCAGCCTGAGTTCTTCAAAATATTTTCAGACCTGTAGTTTGCATGGTATCACTGTTGATGCATCAGGTTTTTTCAGTGTCACTTGTATAATGTTTGACTCTTTGCAGGAGAACCCTCAGGTGTAATGTTCTGACAGGGGGATTCAAGTGCACAACACTGTTGATGCTTGAGCCTTAGAATTACAGGGTCAGTGTTTTTTTTTTTTTGTTTTTTTTTCATGAATTACAGGCCTAACCTACATTTTCTATATTCATAGCATCACCACCTCACATTACTGCACTTTGTACCCTGACGCCTCCATGTTACTGCATGTCAATGTAAAATCTAAATGTAAATTGGACGACATGAAATGACTTCAAATGTGTGTGGGGAAAAAAATAAAACACACTGAAGCAGAAATGCATCTCGCTGGGATGAATGTAAACAAGAATCTGCTACTGTATGAGGTGTTGGAGCATTGAAGTGTGGTATTAATGTGACAACTACACTAATAGGACTGGTCTCAAATACCTCAGGTTCTCATACTCGATACAGACTCCTCCCATCTTGGAACAACAAATTGTAAGATAAATAAAGCCCAAAAATATCAATGTTATCAATGTGTTAAAGGAACTATTTCCAACATTATTACATTGGCTGGTAGGACAAATCCTCACAATAATTTTCAGCGCTCAAGTGTTTCCCAAATGGAATGTAAAAAGGTGCAGTATGAGACGTACAGTATTGGAAAAAATGAATCCTGTAGTGCTAAAAAAAAAAAAAGAGGCAACCCATGACTTCACCTGCAGTTAGACCCTGCAGTTATATATTCAATTACTGCCCTGATGCCAGCGTGAAGAATCAGATCTCCACGTAATTATTACGAAAACATTCCCACTGCCTTACTGTGATGTTAATTCAGCGTCCAATGGAAAAAACACATTCCGAGTGAAGAGTATTTTCACTGGATAAAATCAAAGGCAGACTTAACTGCTGTTCCCTGCTTTCACCTTTAATGCAGAGTTTTATGACAAAGATTCATCTTGAACGCCTGCTGTAACTCCCTTCTTTACCTTTTTTCTCAGCCTTTCCTTTCTAAGCATCATTGCTGCAACTGGAAAATGAAATGTGGTTACATAAATGTGGCATAATGTAAACCTACACAACACTAAACATTCATCTGAAATAAACTGATAATGACAAATTCAACCGACATTGTGTTGCGTGGTGGTCATCACATTACATTCATTATTGATTTCGGCTCAGGTGCAGTTGTTAAGCAGGTGGGTGGTCGGCTAATTTAGGCTCAGTTGTTTGGCGCTGTATGAGACAGTCTACTTCACAAATAACTGCAAGTAATAACTTGGCAAATGAGGCATACGGGCAAACAATACACTCTATTCATTTGTGTTACTTGGCAGTTGGGGAGGGTTACCACCTTTCAGAAATGAAAGTAAATAAGGGACATCCACCACAGCTCATGCCAACAAGCAAATCGTAAATAGTGACATGTAAAGTAAGTTTTAACACTACTATAGTTTGTCATGACTGAACCCTAACATGTACAATTTAATGCTAACATCTTAAACTATGTTAGATTACAATTTTAAGCATAACCTATACATTTTATTTTGAAATTTCTGGCCAATTCATAATGGTAAGTTTAATTCAAAGACTAACTTTTACATTAGCAGATCGCATTTACCAACACGTCAGTTTTTCCCCCCATTGTCCCAAACACCACAATACACACCTTGACAATTTCGAGGTCAACCCATAAATGTCAAACAGCAGGCCGTAACTGAAACCAAAGGAAAATCAGGTTTAAATCCAATTAAAAAAGGTGACCACTTGTTTATTTTTGAATAACCTGAATGTGTGACTTTTTAAAAAGGAAATAGGTCTGAGGAAAAGCTTATTTTGACTTAAACATCTGTAGAAAACAAACCGATGAATGTTTTAAAATGCTGTAGGTTAAGTTTATACATTTGAATTACAAAGAAGGTGTTGGAGGGAAGACAGTGCAATCACATTATAGTCAAAGTAATTTATTGTAAAATTTTACATCAAAATGTAGCTGAAAGGTACAGAGGTACCTCCATAAACGACAATGAAAAGAAGACCATGCAGTTGATCGTCACCCTCAGATTCCTTCTACTCTAAAAGAAAGGAAAAAAAAAATTAGAAGAAATAAGACTATACAAACAAAAACTTCCACCTCAAAACTAAACCAAACAAGGCAACTATGAACTGAATCACCATGACCTTTCATGTGTTGTCCTTAATGTAGCCTAAAGACCACTGATGAACTACAAATGTCTGATCATAAGAGGATGATGTAACATTGACGGACCAGTTCACAAAATCAGATGGATCCATGTCTGATTTTGGAAACTGTCCATGGTACATCACTAAGCAGTTAAGGACTGGATTTCTTTAAAACTAAGAAGAAATGGCGAGTGTTAGGAAGGGTTAGTGTTAGTGGGGGAGTGAAGTGTGAAAGAAATCCAGCCCATTCAATTCTAAGTGATTGTAAAGTAAAACCTATCTGGATTAACAGACTAGTTTAGGTCATCAGTGACCAAAGACCAAATCTTAGAAAATCCATGGAATTTCATGGTGATTTGTAAACAGTTAACCTTAAAGGAGGTCGTTATAATGAATTATGAAAAATATACCAAAGAAGAACAAACTTATCTTTTTCATAGTGGTCTTCAAGGAGTCTGCTTCATGACTTGTCCAGGATGTAGCGTCTTCCAGTTCCAGTCTCAGGTCTATTGGAGCAATAGATTGTAAGTAACATAATGAATCAAAAACAAATATAGGAGGAGAAGTAGAAGGACAAACTTGTTAATGGTGTTCTTCATAGGGAGTATGGATCCAGCACCAACACCTGGGGGCAGGAAATACAGCAGTTTGACTGATGTTACCACATTCAAGGAAGACAGCTTTGGTGAAGCCTGCCACACTTGTCTATTTACCTCAGGGAAGTTACCATTTTTAAATATGTTGCTAAATATTGAATTAATTAGTACATTATATAACCATCTAAGACAATAATTTAAGTCTCAGGTTCTCTCCTTGCCAAGTACATTTACTATTAAAGACCCTAAACGCGCAATCTAATCTGTGTTCCTACCAGTTTACAACAGTATATTTATAAATTTATAAACTTAACCCTATATGTAAACGAATTTGCAGAGGACAAAAGTCCTCTGCTGGGAGGCCTCCCATCGTCATCTAAATGCCACAGAAGGGCAGACAAGTCTTTACTAGGAAATGGACTTGGCAAAGAAACAATATAAGACTCTAAGGTTAAGACCAAAGTGTCAGTTTGACACAATTGGTGAATTTAATTTGTCATGGAAAATTAATGTTTTAAACAACATCAGTGAGCTAAATGGCCATTTAAATTTGCATAACAGTTTAAAAATAGTCAAACATTTATATAATTAACTTCCTTTTTAAAATGATCCCTACCCCAATTTACACTGTAGACAAATAAATTACATTAGGGCCTAATGACTGATCAGTGAAACATGCAGCTATAGATTACAGAGGAAAGAAAAAGAAACTATACGACCCTGGCAGGGATTATGATGGGGTCTTCTGTCAGAAGGAGGCAGGCCTGGATTAGCTCCTCTTTAGTCACGACCTCACCAGAATGTAGCATCATGTTTCAGCCGCAGGTCCATTGGATTGAGAAAAGAGATAGGAGGAGAAAACAAAAAGTTAAGTTCCCTGAATTCTTGCATGTGGAATTTTGTAATGAAAAATTAAACATAACAAGGATTATCATTTAGTACAAACCAGAAACCAAACCATGCAGTAGGAAGGGAGAAGGTCTGGATCATCTTAGTCAAGACCTGACCAGGATGCAGCTTCATCCAGTTCCTAATGTCTATTGGATTAGGAAAAAGTAGTACTCAAAAAATGTAATGAACATAAAGAATTATAAATATACCAGATAAAGTAATACTAATGGTGCTCTTCATATGGAATCTGGATCCAGGACCAACACCTGTGGAGTGTTGGTCCTGAATTTAAGATATTTTTAAATTAGTTGTAAATATTCTTTAATCTTTACCAAGTCTTGGCTGTCTCTTTGCCTAATAGTTTCTATTAAAGACCCTAAAAACACAATCTAATCTGTGGGCAGAATATCGGGATGCATCTTCTCCATACTTGGTCCAACTCTGGTCCCCAGAATCCTGACAGATCAGAGCAGTTAGTCAGCAGATTAAAGCAAACAGGTTTAGCAGAAGTTATTGTTAAGAACAAACCTGAAGACATCCTGCGGCTGAGAAGATTACCTGGACCACTTTCACTATTCGGTGAACTGAACCATCAGCCTTTTAGCAGTGTTTCACCAGCCTGTTAAGTGAAGACGAACGGAAAGAAAAACAAGCAAGACAAAACACAGGCATCCATTCACTGTTTTTACTATTTTTGAAAAATTTATTATAAGAAATAAATAAAAAAAAAAAAAAAAAAAAAAAACCAAGCGGGAAGGGCCCGCGCGCAACCCA